AATCCACCGAGCGCCTGCACACAAGCTGATGTCATCATTTCTAAGACAATACCGCAGTCAAACTTTCTTTTTACACAAACATATGAAAGAGAATCACTCCGTTTATCTGCTCTCGATCAATGTAACTAAAGTCCCACTGGGTCAATGATTAGATATAGGATAAAGTAATTAATTAAATATGCATTAATTATGTGTCCTGTTTTCACGTGCAATGAATATTGTTGAGAAAATAAGAACGCGATGTAAATGTTTGAGTGGGGTAGATTTATGGTAAGAAATAATGTATGTATGTTGAACTTCTTTCGCACCGTACGTAGCCAACCGTGCTAATCGGAGATATAGCTTGTTGACCCGCTTAACTGACAAAGCCGGTCAGGTGGCACGGTCGTACATTGCATGGGTCACAATCGGTAGAGTTGCGATTTCAAAATCCCAGTTGGTAGTTTGATTCATTTTGGGTTGATTAAATGAGTATCACTTTCATCTTCTTGGTTCTTTCGGTAAAGTCACGTAGAAGGGAAATAATAAAATAATAAAAATAAAACATAATAAAATACAATTCTCATGACGTTTCGGCCACAACGCAAGCAGCTGTCCTCAGGTGAAGAACAGGTCTGTCGGAAAGACAGCTGTGAAAGACAGCTTATTTTATTATTTCCCTTCTACGTGACTTTACCGAAAGAACCAAGAAGATGAATCCCTGCAGTCACGAAAGCTTTAAATCGAAAGAGTATCACTTTGTGGAGAAGTCAACAGTGTCTGTCCCATTAAAGCAAAACTGCCCCCCTGCTATAGGAATGTGGAAATTCCTTCCACAACTTTGAGCCGTTAACAGGAGATGGGAACTATCTCACACACTTAGTTGAGGAGGATATCACTGTGATGTTTACCTTAACGGCAGAACCTCTCAGAAGAATAAACAACACAGCTTTTTTTCCATATGCCATAACACTGTTACGATGAAGCTTTTTATGGATAAGTTAATTTACATTTATAAAATGCATTGGGCATCAACATTAAACTTATTTAGCAAAATAGGAAAAGTTCGCAGTAATGTACACACAGTTTTAATGTGAATTTGTTCAAGAAAATCTCAGGTATGTTACGGAGAGTACGTTTTTTCCCCATGATCCTTTGCGCATGTTCAATCTGAAATCCTGTTTTAAAGATTAATGTCCATCAATATTGACATATCGGCAAACTTGTGAAAACCGTGACTTATGCTGCATATTGTCACAACGGTTTGTCATTTTAAAAGCTTTGTCGTTAATTGAAATTATGTTTGAATGTACGCGTGTGTATGGGGAGCGGTGGTCTAGCGGTTAGCGCATTGCACTAGAAACCAGGTGACCCGAGTTCGATTCCCTCTCACGACCAACACCAGTGAATATTATCTGAACCATCCTAGGCCTCCCCTGGGTCGACTCAGCCGCAATTGAGCACCTACTGCGTTGTGTAAACATCGCCACTGGGGAGACAAAGGCAGCTGGGCATGGTGCAACCCATCCACCCCTCGTGTCGGCCTTCATAGGTGTTAACTAACAGCACTTGCCCAAATAGTCTGTTCAGACTATGTAAGGAATCTATGTCTTTGTATACACACGCATTTAAGGGCTATAAAATATAGTTCGTTCGTTATTGTATATAAATTATCTTTGTTTTACACTGCATTCCTCTTGGTGTGTATAAGCTATCCAGAAAACAGCGTTGCTATTTTTGTTTCAGGCAGCTGCCTGAAGAAATTTGGCATAATTTACAAAAGCACTTAAAAAACTCTTACAGCGTTCTATGTTTTATTCTGCGTACATTGTCACAACACCAGAGACACCCTTCGCCAACGAGATGTTCCACATGCAGGGATTATCCAGGAAAAATATTTCTTTTTTAAATGCCATTCAAGATATATTACCGCTTTAATCAGTTTGCCCCAATGCATTTTATTACAGATATATAAACGTTAAATGCAAATAAACTATTAAATAATTGCACAACAATCACGCACCCGAAAATAAAAATAAAAATAAACGTCTTCCACGGTATTAAAACAAACACTAGATTCAAGTAATCGAGTTTCCTTGAGCTCAGACGCAATTTTTAAAATGAAAGATCTATAATACACATTCAGACAAGAGGCAGTGGGTCAGGTCAAAGGGACTAGGAGTGTGGATGGAGCAAGTTGATCCAATTGAAATTTCAAACTGACAAATGAGAGAGAGTAGCTCAGACGCCTGCAAGCCCTGTACAAGTGGAGGGGACGTGGGGGGTGATGGTGGCGGTTTCCACAATTTTTGGTTTTCCCAAGAACATTACAGAGATAATTATTTCCTCCGGACCTGACACAGAGGGTTCTCCGTCACAGCAATGCCTGCTTCAGACCTGCACATCCAGTTGCTGACACCGTGGTGCTGCAGGCTGCCTGAAAGTACTGTACAACACCAGGTAAATGTCTGAAACCGAGCACGTTTCTTCTCGGCACAAACGGGCAGTGTGTGTCTTCCGTGTCGCTAATCCTTTGGTCCTAGATACCGGGGCGTGCAAATAAATTGGCTTAGGGTGTCGTTGTAAGTCACTAAACAACAAACTCAGCTAGTTTTACAAGAGATTTATTAAAGCAGCTGGCTCAGCATATATATATTTTTTTCCACCCTCCTCCCCGCCCACCGCCCCATGGCAGAAGGGTCGATGTCAGGACACATTAGCACTGAGAGCTTCGAAATTATAATCTCGCAAACATCCTCGGAGCGCGATGGTGTCAGCAGCGCAGGGCATTAACTGTGGCGCTTTCAGAAGAAATTGGGGTCAATTGGATGCCTGCACAACGTTGCGTGCGATGCTTCAGGAGGACACATCGTCAGGGGTTATAGCTGTACACTAATTGCCTCGGCTGCGTATCCGCAAGTGTTGGTATGCGCAGTTTAATGGTGACCGGGAATGTGCTCGTGTATTTAGTGTATTTTAAGGATGGGTCGCGCACTGCACCTATGAGCCTGATGACCAAATTCGTAGCGCAATTCACACATCAGTGGAGAATTTCACAATTGGTCCTACACCCTCCAGCCCCAACCCCCCCCCACCCTTTCACCAACCCGCACTGACTGTGCGGTGAAGTATGGTAAATAAACGTCATAACCAACACCTTCATCCATTGATGAATTGAGAATGGCCGAATTCTCTTTTTTATAATCCCCTTCATGAGAAACTGAATGTGTATGTCTATGAGTCAGTCTGTCGGTCACAGCACTTGAGCATTTTTTGTCACACAGAGTACAACAGTGAGCGCACTGGACTTGCAATCCAGCGATGGACCGGTTCAACTTCATGTCCCATCGCGACGGTTGAAATAATGGAGCGAGTTTTCTAAACCCGCTGTCTCATTGGGTGCAACCACAGTTAGTCCATTAACATCAGCTGCCACCTTTTCCAAGACGTCTGTCCAGCATGGAAGAGTAGGCCAAATACCCTCGAGGGATTCCCTAGAGATCACTTGAGTGAAATCCGTTCCGCCAACAGTGGCATGAGCAAGTAATTGCATGGCTGTACTTTTACCTTTTCCAAGTACATTCCATGCAACAAAACCCAGAGTTGTGATTTATGATACAATGAAAATGCAATCATTTCAAAACTACCGTGTACGTTATTTCGACATAGTATCAGAGACGTATTGCAATATAACTACATGTTGCAGCTGTTTGCAAATTGTTTTGGCTTTCCTGCAAAGCGATGCATATGTTTTTTTTTAAACATAAAAGGCTAAACAAAATATGATCACAAAAACATGGTGCAATTCAATCAAATGAGCCTGGCTACAGAGTGAACAGGGCCACAAACATAAGGCAGCCTGCTGGTTGTTGTAGGATGCATAAGCCACTCATCCCATCGTCGCTTGTCATGTCCTGTGGAATCCTACGGCTGGTTGTATAACACACTGGAAGGGAAGTAATAAAATAATAAAAATAAAACATAATAAAACAATTCTCACGACGTTTCGGCCACAACGCAAGCAGCCGTCCTCAGCTGAAAACCAGGTCCGTCGAGGCGACAGAGTCTGAATGAAACAGCACACGAGCTTGTCGCCTCGACGGACCTGGTTTTCACCTGAGGACGGCTGCTTGCGTTGTGGCCGAAACGTCGTGAGAATTGTTTTATTATGTTTTATTTTTATTATTTTATTACTTCCCTTCTACGTGACTTTACCGAAAGAACCAAGAAGATGAATCCCTGCAGTCACGAAAGCTTTAAATCGAAATTTAACACACTGGAAGTTATGGTCAAAGAATCACTGAAGTTGGTTCCTTCAACCAACTGTTTGCTTGTTGCTGACACTATATCCCACCACACACAGCTCAGATTCTACATAGCCAGGCAACCCCTCAAAATGTAGCACTCGGTTTCACGTTGTATCAATTGCTCACTGCCATTATTTGCACGACCGTAGGAGGAAGAGCCTCTTGGTAATTTCCACTTTCCCATTCCTTCCTCCATTTATTACTCCACCATTATTGTGTTGTCATCTTTTAAAATAACGTACGTCATCAAATAATCAATTTTCTATTTCAGTGTGAACTCCCATCGCATTTATCAACAGCTTCCTGCACTGGGTAATGGGAGGAGGGCAAATGGGCCCCGATACATATTTTGCAAATATCCCACAGCGCGATAAACAAGCACAGCGTACCGTGGCCATTCTGCAAATCTTTCTCTGCAGATGCATGGCGTGTGCAGGCCATGCCTCTCGCAGGAAATTCTCTAAAACATACATCAAATCGCTCCCCCCCCCCCCCCCCCCCCAGCATACCACTGGGATTGTTCAGTGCAGCACAAAGACTAGTCCGCAACCAGTTGTGGACTTAAGAACCACTCAGGAGAGAGCGACCCAAATTTTTTGCGGACCCATTTCTCCAAACGACGCGCGGCGCGACAGCGAAGGGGGCCAAAAAAACCAGCACCCCCAACACCATTTAGGGAGTCCGTTTCCGCGAGGGAGCCGGCCACGACATTACCTAGCAGCAGGAGTTTGACGGTGCGCGCATCCTTCTCCGCGTCCTCCGCCAATTTCTTCTCCAGCTCCTTGGAGTGCTTGGCCTGGTCCTTGTCCTCGGCGCTGGCACCGCTGCCCATCTTCGCCGAGGTCGCCGACACCGCCCGGATCTGCTGGGAGACCACGTACAAATTCAGCTTGGGTCACCCGAAGGAGGGCCGCCCTACGGATGAGGTCTCGTGCAAGCTCGAAGAGGTCGGACGCCGCGGCCGGAGATGTGGGCGGCTGCGGGGAGACGTTGACGACGACGTGGGGATTAGGAGGAAAGCTCTCTCCGCCGACGATCCGGTTCGCATCGTCGGTCTCGGGACGATGCTGCCAGAGAGGCAACGCGAGGTTCCCCGCTCTGCCACTTTCCCTGCGAGGATTTGAGGTCGCTGCCCCGCCAATCCCGAACAAGGACGAGGCGTCGTGGTTAAACCGAGCCGCGCTTTACTGATAAGCGGGATGGCGAGCAGATGGGATTTAGGTGTAAGAGAATCTCTCTAAGCTTTGAGAGCAGCTTGAGTGCTTAAAACGGGCACCTGTATTAGCCAGCGTTGAGGACGCCTGGGATTAACACAGGTGTCTTTCTGTTAAAACAAATAAAATCAAACTTTCGTCTCAGCCATTGATCAATCGGTTGCACAAATATAAAATTTTTATTTAAAGCTTTCGTGCCTGCAGGGATTCATATTCTTGGTTCTTTCGGTAAAGTCACGTAGAAGGGAAATAATAAAATAATATAAATATAAAACTTTTTTCAAATTTTCTTTCTGTGGATTTCGCACTTGATGATGATTGCTTGTGTTGCAGTCGAAACGTCGTGAGCATTTTTTTTATTGTTTTATATTTATATTATTTTATTATTTCCCTTCCACGTGACTTTACCAAAAGAACCAAGAATATGCACAAATATTGTTCGGCGATATCTCCAAGATAACAAAAAAAGCGTTCGCCCTTCATACGTCATTCTAAAAACGAATAAACTAAGTGCGATGGAAGTGGTCTCAGGACCAATCTGCCACACACTTCTCATCTCCCAACGAATTATTTGTTTGAAGGCCCGTGCCGAGCAATGGTTTGCTCCTGCAGCACTCTAGAGATTCCGCCAAATATTGTGCTGGTCTTCAAGTGGCACGAAACATTGCCGTGCTGGCATGAATCAAGACAGCGTCTCATAGGCAGGCAGCTATCATGTGCCAAAAAACAGTAACATAGCAAATTATCAACTTTTTTTTGGTCTCTTTTTTATGTCATCCAAATTGTGCTATTGGTACCATGTCACGGGGCCAACAATCAATTTAGATCTTTCGGTAAAGTCACGAGTGATTTATTTTATTTTATACCTACGTGACTTTACCGAAAGAACCAAAGAGTATGGATTCCTGCAGTCACGAAAGCTTCAAATCACGAATCAATTTAAATCTCTGACAGAGCAATACAATGCTTCGTGTTAGAGAACGGTCCATTGGCAGCGGATGTAATACGACAACTGTACTGTACTTCCAAGATACCTTCCAGTGAAATTCAAACTAAGATTTTTTTGTATGACACAGTTATTGGTTTCCGAATTTAGATGATCAACTTCACATGGCAACCCTGTTTAGCCACAAGAGACATGGATTCAAACCCAAGATCTCAGTGGAGATTGAGCTCCGATTTCTGAGCAACCTGGACACTTCATGAATAAACTGGGGTGTTTTTTAAGCAGCACTGTTATTGAAATTAAATCCTTGCATTCGTAGTGCAGCGAACAAGTGCAGTACCAAATCACGGACTATTTGTAAATAAGGCAGCATTAAATCTTGACTTAAAGCTTTCGTGACTGCAGGAATTAAAATTATTTGGGTCTTTCGGTGAAGTCACGTAGATAGGTTCAAATAAAATAACAAAAAATTACGACGTTTCGATCGCAACACAAGCGGTCGTTATCAGGAAAATGGGGTTAGCCTCTAAAGGCAAACTGTTTATAAAGGTTTAGAGATGGGCGTAGCCCAAGTGTCAGCAGCATGGGTGGGGCAGCTGATGTTAATGTGAGTGGTGGGCAGGGCAGCTGATGTTAATGTGAGCGGTGGGCGGGGCAGTTGATGTTAATGTGAGTGGTGGGCGGGGCAGCTGATGTTAATGTGAGTGGTGGGCGGGGCAGCTGATGTTAATGTGAGTGGTGGGCGGGGCAGCTGATGTTAATGTGAGTGGTGGGCGGGGAAGCTGATGTTAATGTGAGTGGTGGGCGGGGCAGCTGATGTTAATGTGAGTGGTGGGCGGGGCAGCTAATGTTAATGTGAGTGGTGGGCGGGGCAGCTGATGTTCACGTGAGTGGTGGGCGGGGCAGCTGATGTTAATGTGAGTGATGAGCGGGGCAGCTGATGTTAATGTGAGTGGTGGGCGGGGCAGCTGATGTTAATGTGAGTGGTGGGAGGGGCAGCTGATGTTAATGTGAGTGGTGGGCGGGGCAGCTGATGTTCATGTGAGTGGTGGGCAGGGCAGCTGATGTTAATGTGAGTGGTGAGCAGGGCAGCTGATGTTAATGTGAGTGGTGGGCGGGGCAGCTGATGTTAATGTGAGTGGTGGGAGGGGCAGCTGATGTTAATGGGAGTGATGGTAGTCGTAGAGGGCAACGACGGCGCTGGTGGTGGGTTTCCACCAAGGCAGCATTTTCCCTGAAGATGGAGCACATCTAGTTAGTCACAGACATTCCTGGGATGGAGGGGTCCAACGTTCAAACAGAAATCAGCCCTTCATCCTGCTAGGGTCTATAAAATAAGTGCCACTTTGTGGGAGGTCAACAGTGGATAGACTCATCTCTGCCATAACAATGCCACACCTTCTCGGCCAATGTGGTGATGTCACACGTGATGCACGCACAATATTATTTATTATCGCTCATTAAATACTGCTGAGGATACATGGATGTTCGAAAACGTTGCATGCATATACATGTGTTTTCTTCCTTGTTTAAGTAACCTCGACTTGCATACCTGTCAACCCATACAGTTCACCCGTATTCTTGTACAGGGAAATGTATGTTTCAGGTCCATATGGCATACACCCGTTTCAGTGCGGGCAAAACAAAATGTGTTTGTGTTTCTTCCTTGTGTAGGGATGTTAGAGAGAGGGCCGTTATGTATGGCAGTCTATGGGAAAGAAACACAGTGGGCGGGGCTACGTGTGTGCACAGGGAGATGCCCTCTGCGACGTCCGAGCCAGACACCCTGGGGGGGGGCTGGTTTGGCGTTATGATCCCCCGGGGCCCCACCCCTCAAGGAGGGTTGGGTATAAAAGGGGACGTTATATGGGCTCGGGGGCAGTTATGTTATAGTTAACTAAGAAGACTGAAGACGTCTTAGATAGAGCCCTGGACTCCCCTCGTTCGATGTCCTTGTCAGGGCCGAACAGGACCGAGCCAGCGGCGTGGTCCCGGAAGCCAGAGCCGGTGCTCTTCTAAGAGCTGGTCTGGGACTCCGGGTACCGGCCCGACTTACCAGTGTCGGGCCAAGTAGCCTCCCCTAGCCCAGTAGTGGAGGACTGTGAGGCAGGCTAGGACTTAGCTAGGAAGAGTATCCTTAGCTAGTCGGGTGAGGGGGCCGATACCCCCTCCAGTGCTGTATGTCACATACGAGCTGTGTTGAATAAATATCCGTGTGCCTCCACCTCGGCGTCAAGTGTCTTCACCGGTACTTCAACTGGTGTCAGAAGTAAAACTCGAACATGGACACGCGGAAGACAGCGCGGGCCAAAGTACCGCAAGAAGAAGATACTGCCGAGATCGAAACGCCCGGGACGGCTACACAAGCCATGGTGCAGCCGGGGCCTGATGTCTCCTTACCGGGGCATCTGAGTGAAGAAGGATCACAGTCAGACGCGTTGCGGCTGGCTCACGGGAGGCTGGCGGAGCTGTTATATGCCGCTGCCGCCACGCTGGAGTCCATCACGCGGCTGGGGGCCGGTGATTCAGCACGGGGCGAGGCGGCCCAACGACCAGGGCGCCTTCCCGCCATTTCGGAGCAGCCCGAGTTTGAATCTCCCGCCATCGACGCTGCAGCTGTTCGGGGCGTGGCCAGCCTACACATCCACTCCGGCATCGCCGTCGCTGAAGCCGCGACGTCATCACCACCGCGACAGGCGATCCCATCGGCCGCTCGTACCGACGCACAGCCGAGTGGAGGTGACATCCGCCCGCGGGAATCAACAACGACCGCTGCACTCCATCAGAGGCTGCCCCCGCTGAAAGAGTTCGTCGGCGCGGAGGGGGACTGGGCCGGTTTCCGCAGGCGATTCCTCGCCCATCAAGAGATGGCGAGGTGGACAGACGAGGAGGCTCTCTGCGCGCTGCCGGCGCTCCTCGACAGCGACGCGCTCGCAGCCCTCACATCGGCACCTAAAGAGAGGCGGGCGACGTTACCGATGGCGCTGCAGCTGCTGGGAGGGGTCTACGGACCATCGGCGGAATGCAGACAGGAGTTCTACGACCGCAAGCGGGGTGAAAAGGAGTCGCCCCTGGCGTACCGAACGAGCCTCCTGGCGATGGCCAAGTCGGCCTTCCCCCGTATGGATGACGACGGCATCGACGCTATAGTGACGGAGAAAATACTCCTCCTGGCTGACGACCTTGACATCGCTGTCGTCGCACAGGAGGACGCGGAAATGACATCGCTCCAGGCGGCGCGGCTCCTCCACGCAAACCTCCTGTCGCTCCGGCGGAAAGCCAGCAGGGCATCGGCGGGGCGTGCGGTGGCTGCAGCCACCCTTCCGACGGAGGAACTCTATGCCGTCGACCACCGACGGCAACAGGCGACGAGTGCACGGCCGGGCCAGGACGGGTCGGGCCGTTCCGACCATTCGTCACCTCCGACGCCGCTCCCACGGTGTTTTAACTGCGGCGTCCGGGGCCACGTCGCCTCGGGGTGCCGCTCTCCTCGTCAGCGCGGGACGACACCTCACCGGGACGACGGGCCTCATCCCAAGCTCCACCATCAAAAACCGGCGAGTCGCGGCACCCCACACGTTTGGCCCACACACACACCCGTCACGCACTCAAACACCGCAACGAGAGGGGGGCCGGTATCACGCACCATCGCACCATCACGCACCACTCCGGGTACCCATATCGAACCCGGCCAGTGGTCCGTGCTGGTCGATCGTGTGGTGGCCGCATCGTCGGGGTCGTCGGCCGTTGTGGGGTATATCGACGGGGTTGAAGTGCGCATCCTGGTCGATACGGGAGCATCGGCGACTATTATTTCGGAATTAATTTATAATATTCTCCCTGTCCGGAGTCGTCCCTTGATGCCGGTTAACATACCATTCTATGCGGCTAACGGGGGCTCACTTGGCATCATCGGACAAATTCGTGCCCAAATTTGTATCGGGGAAATAAAATTGTCTGGCCC